CCAGCTACTCGGGAGGCTGAGGCAGGAGGATCGCTTGAGCCCGGGAGTTTGAGGTTGCTGTGAGCTAGGCTGACACCATGGCACTCTACTCTGGGCAACGAAGTGAGACTCTGTCTCAAAAAAAAAAAAATAAATAACAAAATGATGCATTTAAAATGGGTGCATTAATTTTTTTTTGAGAGGGCAGTGTGAAGGCCATATACATTCAGCACTCACATGCTTGTCTGTGTTACTGCTCTACAAAAGGTTAAGAATTTTCGTTTGAACTGTCCCGTTTGCCAAAACTACAATACAAATGATTCACCTCTTTTCACATATTGGTCAAGACATAATTGTACTTCAAAGCACCCAGATGTCTGGGATACCAATGTGAGAATACATGGCTTTGCCATTTGGTGGCTGAATAGCTAGGTATAGAGTTACCCAATAGCTGGTCAGCTACATCATGGGACCATCTATAGATAGGGCAGCTGTGATTCTGTGCAGTCTAACGAATGGCAGCTGTAAGAAATATAATTTCACAGTGGTAATGAGGGTAAATGATAACTGGAAGTATCTACAAAATTAAATGTGATGGGAATAAATATGTTTTCTATTGGTGACAAAGTTGCAGGTACTGATAATGTAGTTTGTTACCTGTATATATATATTTTTTTTCTTTTGGTTCTTTTGTTTGTTTGTTTGTTTTTGAGACAGAGTCTCACTCTGTTGCCCAGGGTAGGGTCCTGTGGTGTCAGTCTAGCTCATAGCAACCTCAAACTCCTGGGCTCAAGCAATCCTCCTGCCTCAGCCTCCCAAGGAGCTGGGACTATAGGCGTGTACCAGTACGCCTAGCTAATTTTTTCTATTTTTAGTTGTCCAGCTAATTTCTTTCCATTTTTAGTAGAGACGGGGTCTGGCTCTTGCTGAGATTGGTCTCGAGCTCCTGACCTTAAGCAGTCCTCCTGCCTGGGCCTCCTAGAGAGCTAGGATGACAGGCGTGAGCCACCACGCCTGGCCTTCTTTTGGTTCTATTCCTTGAATTGAATATTACCGATGTTTTTAATTGGAGGGGAATGTTCAATTCCAATTGGAGGTTTATTTCACTAAATATAAAAGTTCCTTTGCTAACTTAGGAACTGATTTAAGCTAATTTTTTTGTTGGAACAAGTTGCTGCTTCAAACTGGTTTCCTTTTTCGAACATTGGGGCTTTTTCTTTTTATATCTGAGGGCCAGTAACCAGTATATAGACTGAAAAGTAATTTGTCCCCAGAGAATCAGTTGTGTTGGAAAACTTAGCAGTGGTAGACATTTTTTTCTCCTTTTTCTCTGTGCAGATAGCAGATCTGGCCAATGAAGATACTCCACAGCTGTATGTGGCCTGTGGTAGGGGACCCAGATCATCTTTGAGAGTCCTAAGGCATGGACTTGAGGTAAGATTGGAATTTGCAGATAATCTGCAGGGTTTGGAGGAAAGCACTGATGAAGCTAAAGTTTATGGCTTTACTCTGATGTAGTCAAAGAAAGCGTGAATGTATCTATGAAAAAGTATATTCTTCCTCCTCTGTTTCCCTAAAGTTTGCACTTAGATTTCCTGTTCCTTAGCTTGTTATCGTGATAACTCCAGGCTCACTAGCCATGACACAGAGGCTAAAAAATCTACATGGAACAATTCACTCTCTCTTTCTTTCTCGTCTTAGTCTTTTTTTTTTTTTTTTTTTGAGACAGGGTCTTGCTGTTTCCCCCAGGCTGGAGTACAGTGGCAGGATCATAGCTTACTGTAACTTTGAACTGCTGGGCTAAAGGGATCCTCATAACTTAGCCTCCCCAGTAGCTAGGACTATAGACATGTGCCACCACGCGTGGCTGTTTATTTTTTTTGAAGAGACGGAGTCTCGCTGTATTGCCCAGGCTAGTCTCAAACTGATTTTTCTGCCTTGGCTTCCCGAAGTGTTGAGATTATAGGCATGAGCCACCATACCCAGCCTAGTCTTAGTCTTTATTCAGAGTTTTTAGATAGTTAATAATGATGGGTATATATTTTTGTAAGTTACTAAATTTATTTTTTATC